GTGTGATCGTGCAGCATTGCATGCAGTTTTTCCAGGAGGGGGGAGAGAGGCAGAACAAGCACCAGCTAGCAGCTCGCTGGCATGCCTGTTTCAGTAACCCCGTCATTACAACTCCAGTTCAGCCAAAAATGTGAGGTGTTAATAAACTGGTCTGCTGACTGGATTTTTTAGTTCTCTTCTTAAGGAAATTACAAAAATACAGAATAGTTCAATGCCATTGTTCTTCAGTGGGCAGTGTCGTGTAAGCAAAATGTATGACATAATTTCCTGGATATATTGAGTAGAACTAGTTTTTACTTTCAGCTACCTTTACACAACCCGTTTAGGTTTCCTGTGTCCCATGTAATTTTCATATAAATGGCCCAAACTTTACAAAAGTTTTTTCTTCTTTGCCTTTTATAAAGAAACTCGATGGCGTTTTGTTTATGATAACTTTGAGCAGTAATTGCAGAAATTGCACATTCCGATTCATTTATCTTTTTTGTTGAAGTGCTTTTGGGCTTGTGTCTCTCTCTCCCCTCCCCTCCCTCTCCTCCCCCCCCCCCCCCCCCCCCCCCCCTTTTAAATCTACATGGTGCTTTACCATGAACACAATAATCCTATGAATAGGTTAGGGAAGTTTTGTTTTATTCTGTAATACTATCATGGGACTCTCTTCCACTTTGATTCTTTCTTTTATCCCTGGGCTATAGTTCAGTATGATATATTGATGCTCAAGTGGTTATTATGTGAACATTTTTTTCGCTTTAGGAATTTTGGTGGCTTTTTATGCCTGCTTCTGCTTTCTTAATTAATGACAGTAACCATGATTTGCTTATATTTCCAAGTGCTAGTGCAGTGCCTGGCATTTGATAGATACACAGCAAGCATTTAATTGCATTAAATAAGTCACTTCAAGAAACTGAACTTTATAAAACCTACATTTTCTGAACCCTAGGCTTCTGTTTTCATTGCATCATTTGAATTTTCAGGTTGACTCCACCTAGAATTCAACATGTATTATAATTTATTGAAGGGCCATGTAGAATAAATTATTACAAGGCAACTTGATCCTTATTCGAACATAGCATAGGCTAAGTAGTAATACATATCATTTTTTAAAACCCTGTCAGTATTTTACTTGCCTGTTGCAACAGTTCTTCTCCTTTGTCAAAAAGATGATAGTATTTAATTGTGCATATTTGTAATCTTAGCCTCTCAGGAGGCTGAGCAGGAAGATTGCAAGTTCAAGGCCAGCCACAGCATTTGGTGAGACCCTGTCTCTTTTAAAAAAACAAAACAACATAACAGGACTGGGAGTTTTGTTCAGTGGCAAAATGCCCCTGGCTCCAATCCTTCAATCCCCACTAACCTCCCCCACCCCAAACAAAACAAAACACACAATAATGGACTAAGAAATAAGTAGTTAAAAAAAAAAAAAGTTTCACTGAGTTAAGTCTGTGTACCTCAAAATAAATGGCATCTTAAATTTACATCAGATCTTTTCTTTCCCTTTCAGTATAGCTACAGGTTGGTTGCCATAGATTGTTCCAAGTGAAACCTATTGTTGCAGTTTCAACAAAGGCTATATTTATCACTTGATAAATAATCCTGTGAAAGAATGTTAAACTTAACACTAATGTTATGCAACCTTTAAGTAACCTGAAAATTAATTGATGAACCAAGTTATTCTGCAGTGCTTCAAAGATTAGTGGACAACAGCTGTTTTTTCCCAAAGATGGTGACTTCCCATCTCCATGATTTCAGAAATTGAGAAGGCAGTCTTCTTGAGTCGTGCCAGCAAACGGCCTGGAAAGAACAATGAACTCAAATATGATTGATAGTAGATTGCTCACCCCATTCCGTGTTCCACAGCAAAGAAAAACATGTTCATAATATTCAGTGGTTGCTTTTTGTTCTGTTGATCTTTCTAAGCATTAGTATTATAGTTTGGATTTTCCTCTATTAACTCCCCTCCTTCAATTTGATTCTTTGTTCTGTCCTGGAGGCACATCTTCTCAGACTGGCTATTAACAGAGCTCAGCAGTATTAACCCCCCCCCCCCCCCCTTTTTTTTTTTTACCCTTTAGCTCTCTGGTGAAGGGATTTTGATCACTGGTAATACAGGTTTTGATAATGTGGGTCCATCAGTCACCTTTCTGTTAATTATAGTAGATAAACTAATGTTTTTCCCTCCTTCCTTTTTAGTTATCTAATATTTTAGGAAATATCATATTTAGTTTTTATGTCGGTGTGATTTGGTTTTTGTATGTGTGATTAACTAAAGTCATAATTGTGTAAAGTGGTAAGATCAGCGTGTTTTTGATAGAAATAAAACATGTCTTGGGAAACCTGGTATTATTGGCTTTGTAGACAGAATCTTGGTTCTAGACAAGTTTAACTCAACCAGTTTTGCTAATGGTCCTGTGCTTTACAGAATCCTGCTGTGTAGTACTTTTAGACTGTGTCCATGTTCTTTCTTGGTAGACAAGCCAATCATCAGGTGTTGACAATTTAGGAATCTCTGTAGTCTAGCTGGAAGAACTATAGGCTGGGAGGAAAGAAATTTGTAGATGGTGTGTCTTTGTCTGAGGGTGCAGACTGGCGGTGTCAACATTTCTTTGAGGAAGAGTTATGAAAATCAGTTGTAGGATATTGGAATATTAACTGGGTTCTCTTTAACTTCCCATAGTAGGCAGCAGTAATTGATTGTGTCCTGGGTCAGTTGTTAGGTACTTGGCACTTTCTGACTTGACTTCCTTTCCTTACCTAAAATTCTTTTACTTATGTGCTACCCACCTCACTACTGTCTCATCGCACCCTTCTAAAAAAACAGAACAACAGCAACAATATTAAAACAAACAAACAACAACAACAACAAAAACAACTAAAAAAAAAAATCTGAAGTGAAACCTGATTTAAAATGAGGGCCAGAAAAATCTTAGAAGTTCTTTACAGAAGTTCTGACTATCTTCCCCTATATTTTCCTCTAGTTAAATGGGACAGCACAAAAATTCAAAAACAATTTTGAAAACAGAAACAAATGATTTTACTTTTTTTATTTTAAATTTTACTTTTATTTAAAAGTGCTTGGAAATTCTTGTTATATTGTGTGTCTGCATTTTGTTTGGTTAACAATAATTTTTTTTGAGGTTTTGTGTGCTATGCTAGGTACCAATAAGTCATTTATGTATTTTCATTTAATTCTCACAAGAGCTTTATCAAATGACCCCTCCATTTAACCTTTTCTCTCTCTCTTTTTTGAGGCCCTGGAATCTTAAATTGACCAGGTTTAGTAAGCCTAGATTACAAGCCTAGCAAGTAAGTGAAAGAGCTGGGAATCGAGTCTCGATCTGGACTGCTCTAAAGCTTCTGTTCTGTAACTGTTATGTTAACAATTAATCATATTATTATAGATTGGAAGATGGATTCCAGGCTCTAAATGTAGCCAGCCTACTTTTGGCATATATCTCACTATAAACTAGGAGCTGAGATTGCAAATAGGCATGTCATTGCACAGCACTGTTACTCCTCTTACCTTTTGCAAAAACCATATATGATGTGCTTCCCTCCCCCCTCCATTTTCTCCTCTTTATTTTGGGTTTCAAAAGTGCAATGACCATTCATACTTTGCATCAGGATTGTGGTTATCTGATCCCTGTGTACTCTATGTAAATTGACCATAGCCTATAATATGTTTGTTCCTTGGAATTTATGAATGTATCATTTTTTCTATGCCCTTTCCTGTTAGCCCTGCCAATTCTAGCATGACTGCTTTTAACTTTAGGGCATATGGTAGTCATGGTTGTTGTCTTGATATCGATGTTACTTTACTGTTAAACTTGTGAATTCATAAGGAGAGGTGAATGTTTTTATTAGCTTACTTCTTTGTTTTACCAGAAGCTGCTCCCTATTTCTTTCTTTAAAAAAAAAATTATTTATTTACTTTTTTGTAGTTGTAAAGGGACACAATGCCTTTATTTTTATTTGGTGCTGTGGGATCAAACCCAGGGCCTCACATGTACTAGGCGAGCGCTCTACCGCTGAGCCACAACCCCAGCCCTGTTTCTTTCTTTCTTTTTTTTCTTTTAGAGAGAGAGAATTTTAATATCTATTTTTTTTTTAGTTTTTGGCGGACACAACATCTTTGTTTGTATGTGGTGCTGAGGATCGAACCCCGGCTGCGCGCATGCCAGGCGAGCGCGCTACTGCTTGAGCCACATCCCCAGCCCCCCGCTCCTATTTCTTGATGTGCAAAATTCTGCTATTTATATGATCATGTATTTGAGTGTATATTATTTTGAAAAATTGCCCCTAATTTCTCCATTTAAAATATTTCTTTTTCGACTAGGCACTCGGGTGCACACCTGTAATCTCACAATTCAGGAGACTGAGGCAGAAGGGTTTAAAGTTCCAGGCTGGCCTGGGAAATTTAGCAAGACCATGTGTCAAAATAAAAAATAAGGGCCAGGGAATGTAGCTCAGTAATATAGTGTCTCTGGCTTAATATCCTGTAAACTCCCCGCCCCCTCAGACAGACAGACAGACATACAACACACACTCTCACTTGCACACACTCATTTTTGGTAACCTAAATGCATACTTTAATAGAGGGTAAGAAACATCTGGGACTTTTCTTCCCTTGTACGTTTCCTGAATTTGGGTGTATGAGGATACCTACAGTTTCCGAATACTCATCATTTTCATTACTTCTCAGGACTTGGAGCTGGTCTCCTCTGTATACCCCACTTTGCACTATCCATGTGTAGAAACAGTGATGGAAGTGTATTGTTGTATGTCATGCCTGACCCCCCTCCCCCGCGCACGCCAGTGGAAGTATTATAGATGGCTAAGTAAGGTATCTACTCAAATTCTAGGAAGATTGGCATTGTACTTGATACATTTAGTTTGTTTCACATGTTCAGGGAAGGGACAGATGGGAACGGTTAGTTTGACTAATACTAATTCTTACGTGAAGAAAGGACAATAAAATTGAACCTTCTTTATTTTTTTGTCCACAGAATCAAAATATTTGCTCAACAGTGGACTCGGAGACCATTAAAAATAAACTCCCACTTGAACATCATTTGACTGCATAGCCAGGTAACTAATTCCTTTCTATTTGATTCATTATAATTTTTTGACTTTAATCTTCTGAAGATACTACCCTTTTCTTTAATTTGTAATTTTGTTTAAAGTTGTTTGGTGCTTGATGTTTTCTTTTTAAGGATAATAGATCAGGTGCAGTGACTCATGCCTGTGATCCTAGCAACTGGGGTTGGGGGTCGGGTGAGGTTTAGGCTGGAGGATTGAGGACAGCCTCAGCAATTTAGTGAGACCCTGTCTTTAAAAAAAAAAAAAAAAAGAGCTTGGGTTGTAGGTCAGTGGCAAAGTGACCCTGGGTTCAATCCCCAGTACTCCCTCTTCCCCCCACCAAATACTAGTTGAATGAGTGGACTTGGAATATTCAAGTGAATACACACACACACACACACACACACACACACACACACTCCAACAGTGGCTATTTTAAGGGTGTTTAGTCAAAATCTGAATCAGCCCTCACCCGTGTTGACTGTTTACCTTGTGAAGATTATTTTCCCCATCTTGTACTGGCAAATAACATTTTATCTAACCCCTTTCTTCACTTTAATATTGCAGCAGAATAGGAAAAAAAAATAGAAAAAGTTTGATAGCTTAGAAAGCAGTTATGTTTGCTGAGCTAGTTAAATTTATTTTGGTTAGTAATACCATCCTCTTGGTTAGCTCATTTGGAAATCTGAGTTTTCTTTGAATCTTACCCCTCTTTGATATATTTAGTAAACAGGACTTATCTGGTTTGCTATTTTCCTGTCTTTTGTATTTGTTCTACTTTCTGTTTCTAATTTTAGCTTCCTTCAGGCCAAGACCCCATAATTTCATGCTTATTTTTGTTCATGGGTCTTTACTGCTTACTTATCTATTGTTTTTGTACCTGCTTATAATTTTGTTAGATCTTCCTAAATAAATTTTTTTCTCTGGTTTAACAGGGGAAAAATTAGTACAGGTACTGGGGGTATAAGTCCTTGGTAAAGTGCTTGCTGAGCATGTAGGAAATCCTGCTTTCCATCCCCATCACAGGTAGAGGGAGATGTGTATGTAATTCATAAACTCCCTTTTCTTGACATTCAAAATGGTGCTTTATCTGGGAATCCATGTAAGCCACCAGCCGTAGCTCTTGCAACTTCCCTACAAAATCCCTTAATTAAATATGATATGTACACATTCTGTTCTGTTCTGGACATAGCAGAGAATAATCTCCATCTTTTTTTTTTTTTTTTTAATTAGAGCATTTTAATTATATATAGGAGTTCATTTTGACAATATCATATATACAAGGAATTTGGTTTTAATCCCTATCTTCTTCCTCTTCCACTCTCCCTCCTTTACTCTATTGATCTTCCTTTTGCTTTTTTATTTTTAAAGATATGTTTTTATAACTTTATTTATGTATTTATTTTTTATGTGATGCTGAGGATTGAACCCAGTGCCTCACCCATGCTAGGCAGGCTCTCTACCACTGAGCTACAGCCTCAGCCCCTCCTTTATTTATTTTTAATTGGTACTTTCTACATATATAAAGGTGAAATTCCCTTTGGTACATTTATGTATGCATATAACAGGATTTTATTAAATTCATTCCACACTTCCTCCCCTTTTCCTTCTCCTTCTCTCTGTAGTTTTTTCAACTTTATTTGAAATTGGTTTCCATATTTACAACAGTTATAAATATATAGTATGAAGAAAGTTGAGATATCCTTTGTCTAGACTCACGTACTTGTATTATTTGATTCGTGTGTGCTGGTTCTCTTGCCTCTTCTTTTTTTCCTGTTCCCACTCTCCCTCTACATTCTGAGCAATCTGAGGGTAATAAGATTGTGTTACTTTTCTCTAAGGTTTCTATTGTATTTCTGAAGAACAGAGTAATTCTTTTATATAACCATTGTACAGTTAACAGCTTCATAAATAGACATTGCTACAAACTTGTCCACTTTCCAGCCTTACCATTTGATATAATTAAGTCTCATAACATTTTCTTCCTGTGCAGAATCCCGCCTGAGGTCAGGTACTACTTAGTTACTATTTTTCTTAAACCTCTTTTTTTCCTGGGATATTTGTACAGCCTTTCTTTATTTTTTATGATATTGACATTTTTGAAGCCCCCCCATCTCCAGCAATGAACTGTTCTGGGGATGGAAACCAGGGTCTTGTGCATGCTAGCCAAGGACTCTACCACTGAGCTACCTCCCCAGCCCCATTTAATAGAATGTTCTTCATTTTATTTATTTGAACTTTTTTTGGTTGTAGATGGGCACAATATCTTTATTTATTTACTATTATGTGGTGCTGAGGATCAAACCCAGTGCCTCACATGTGCTAGGCAAGTTCTCTACCACTGAGCCACAAACCCAGCCCGAATGTTCTTTGTTTTATACTTGTCTGAAGGTTCCTTGTGATTAGATTTAGGTTTTGTATTTTTGGCTGAAATATTGTATAGGTGATGTTATATCCTGAGAACATAAATTCGGGAGGCATGTGTCTATCTGTCCCTTGCTGTGATGCTAATTTGGACCACTTGGCCAAGGTGTTGCCAGGCTTCTCCACTTGTAATCTGCCTGTCCTTGACCCCAGCAATAAACTGTGTCTATAGGAGATAATACAGATATTGTGATTCTACTCAGTTTTTCCTAGATTTAGTATTCATTGATGAATCTTGTTTGATCCAGCTTTTTTTTTTTTTACTGTGATGGTTGCAAATTGGTTATTTTCTCATTTCAGCATTCCTTTTACATTTACCAGTGAGCTCTTAGCATTATTCTGTAATCCAGAGCTTTATTTATTGGTATGGACTAATGAATTATTATGTTTTGAATAGTTTACAGTTAATTACTTTACTTTATTATGTTGCTCAAATTGTAGGTTTGGCCAGTGAAGCTCTCCCCTTTCCTTCCCTTCTTCTTTTCTTGTCACAGGCTCCCCTCTGTTGCCACATCTGGCCTGAAACTCAGAATTTTCTTGCCTCAGCCTCCTGAGTTGCTGGGATTACAGGCTTATTTCACCTTGTCTGGGTCCCATTACGCTCTTTCAACTGGGTTCCTGTGTCCTTATGTATTAGAGACCCAGGAACTATGGGTGGTAAATGTCCTTATTGCTCTTGAGTTGTCTTCTCATCTTGGCCCTTTTAGTAGACAGAGCTAGGAAATATGCAGGCTGTACACACACACATGCATAGTCATGTTCACAGAAACATGCATATACATATTTTAGAAATCATGAGTTTATATCAATATTCCCAACTTTATGTCTAGTGTTTTTTCTTAGGGTTTGTATTTCATATTTTAAATGTCTTATGCTGTGAGAATTCTGGCCTTCAACATTATTAATACATTTACACATCAACTCTATAATTTAAGATAATTTTAGAATTGCTTTGTTTATTTTACTACAATAAACTTTTTGTGGTACACTTTGGGTAGTACATTCTAGGCAAGAAATTTATCACTGAGCTACACCCTAGTCCTAATAAACTCATTTAAAACGAGTGGAAGATTTGTTTGCAAATCCCTCTACCCTCAAATTTTGCTCATGACAAGAGTGAATCATTAAAATTTTGTTCTTAAATTACTTGGATTGAGGGCTATGAGTGTATCTTAGTGATTGAGTGCTTGCCTAGTATGTACAAGTTTCTGGGTCAGTCCCCAGTACCACTTCAAACAAAACACACCCCCAAAACTTGGATTGACCATGTATCCCTCCTTATCCCTCCTTCTTTTCTTCCATGTTCTCCTTCCCATCCTTACTTTCTACATAATCTAACTATGGTCTATATATGAATTGAAATTAGGTTAATTTATTTGTTGCTTGAGTTTCAAAGTTTTTTGTGCCCTTTTTAATTTTGGTTGGTTTTATTTTTTGAGTATGTAGAATGTTAGTATGCTTTCAGTGTCAAAACTGGGGCTGAGGGCATAGCTCAGTGGTGGAGTGCTTGCTTAGCATGCTGAGGCCCTGGGTTCCATCCTTAGCATTACCCCTCCCACCCCCGCCCCAGTCAAAATTACACAAAAGGTGTATTTTTTTCTGTATCCCTTCTACGCTATCTTTTCTTATTCTTCATAAGTAACATTCTGGTTTATCTTCTCCTTTCTCCCCCGCCCTTTCTCTCTCTAAGCATGCATATATATAAAAATAAAATATATATACATTTTTTTTTTTATTTAGACAAAAGATGGCATAGTATATAGTCTTTGCATTTTGCTTCCCCATCCCCCTACTGAGTTTTCCTGGAAAGAATGCTGCATTATATCAAAGAGATCTTTCCTATTCATTTTGTTTTAATTATGGTAAATTTTGGATAACAAAATCTGCCATGTTGACGTATACAGTTCAATGGCATGGAGTTCATTCATATTGCTATGCAGCCATCAGTCTTCCATTTCCGGAACATTTTATCTTCCTAAAGCAGAACTCTGGATACCTATTAAATTAGTTATTTCTCATTCTCCCTTTACTTATGTCATCTCATTAACTTTTATAGTCAAACAATTTTTATGTATGGGTACTGTCAGTTGCTTCCCATATTTTGTAATTAAAATAATGCTACAGTGAATAAACTTGCGAGTGTATATTTTTTGTATTGCTGGGGGACCCATTACTGAAAGTAGGACTGCTAGGTTAAATGGTATCTATATTGGGCTGGGGTTGTGGCTCAGTGGCAGAGCGCTTGCCTTGCACATGTGAGGCACTGGGTTTGATCCTCAGCACCATATAAAAATGAATAAACAAAATAAAGATATTGTGTCCATGTATAACTAAAAATGTTTTAAAAACTGGTGTCTGTATGCTTAGATTTATCCCTAAGCTTTTTGTGTTTTTTTTTGGAAATAGGGTCTCACTGAGTTGGTTAGGGGGTTGCTTAGTTGCTGAGGCTGGCCTGGAACTTGTGATCCTCTTGTCTCAGTCTCGAGTCACATGGATTATAGGCATGATACACCACGCCTGACAGCATAGGTATTATTTTTAAGATTCATTGATATTATGTGCATCAATAGTTTATTTCTTATTGT